TCCACAGGATTCAATGCTGCAGCTTTGACCCTCACATAAAGCTCGGTGGGGGAAGGCTTTGTGGGCGCAGGTATGTTTGATAATTTGAGAGCGCTTGGATAGCCCTCATGGGTATAAGTCCATGCTCTAATCAGTTCAGACATGATAGATTCTGCACCTCTTCAGTCCGGTTCGCGGAACAACGAAATTAAAGGTGATGGAGAGGCAAGATGACTGATTTGGAGAAGTTGGAGAAGCTCCATGTCAAAGCGGGCAGCATGATCGTTGCTTTTAGCAAATCCTCCTGTTTGTCCAAATTTGGTTGATCGCGCCTATAGCTTTACCCAAGAGTTTAATAAGCAATTTTCCTACAGTGAAAGATTATCGACCACTACCCTGTGCACATTGTGATGAGAGCACAGCAGGAGCACACGAAATTCATGCTCTCTTTCGCCCTTCGAGGTTAATTGGGGGGTTGTGTGCCTTACAGCCTGCCGTTGCCTATGACGTTTCACAAGACCACCAACAAACCTAAAATTGTAGAAAAAAAAATGGAGCCGAGGTCCGCGGCACGTACCCACATTGAGAGAGTCACAGATTGGGGACCTTTCCTCTAGAAGATTGTATGGTGGTGATCATTGTAGTCCATTCAGATCGAGCTCGGAAGCTCAAGTGGCCGGACGATGGAGGCTCAGATATGATTTGCACCACTGGAGTCTATATCATTTCTTCCAGGCCCTCTCCAGAAATCCGGGTTATTGTAGGAGGACCTTGTCACTATCCAAAAACGTTCATACTTAGTATGGCGGAAGTAAAGTCAACCACCAACTTTGATGTTATCATCATTGGTGCTGGTATTTCAGGCGTCAATGCTGCCTACCGGTTGCAAGAACAATCACCGGATCGAACATATGCGATTCTCGAAGCACGGACTTCGATCGGAGGTACCTGGGACTTGTTCACGTATCCTGGCATTCGCTCTGACTCCGACCTACACACTTTTGGATTTCCATTTCGCCCATGGACAAAAGAAAATGCCATCGCTGATGGTCCCTCTATTGCAAACTACATAAAAGACACAGCAGCTCAATACGGGATCGATCGAAACATTCACTATCATCACAGGCTTCTATCAGCAAATTGGTCAACGGATCGCCAGCGTTGGGCTCTCGATGTTGACAACAAGGGTTCCAAGAAACACTATCATGCCAAATTTGTCATGTTCTGCACCGGGTACTACGACTACAACGAAGCTCTGCCAGCGAAAATTCCTGGCATCGAAAACTTTGCAGGACAGGTTATCCATCCACAGTTCTGGCCCGAGGATCTCGATTATGAGAACAAGAACATTGTGATCATCGGTAGCGGAGCCACTGCTATCACACTGCTACCGAACCTTGCCAAAGGTGGCGCATCACACGTTACAATGCTACAACGGAGTCCAAGCTATATTGTATCGTTGCCCCAGGTCGGAGGACTCGCCTATTGGGCTCGAAGAATTCTTCCTGCTGCGTGGGCATACAAAGTCATCCGTCTCCAATTCTTAATTCTGCCCTTTCTCTTTTTCAAGTTTTGCAGGGCGTTCCCCGACGCCGCCAGACGACAGCTCGAGAAAGGGGCACGGCAGCAATTGCCCAAGGGTTACCAAACCGATCCCAATTTCAAACCAAACTACAATCCTTGGGATCAGCGCCTATGCATCAGCCCCGACGGTGACTTTTACCAATGTCTTCGAGAGGGCAAATCAAGTATCGTGACCGCACATATCAAGAATGTTACCGAGAAGAGCATCCAACTTCTAGACTCTGACAAGACCCTGCAACCGGACATTATCATCACTGCAACAGGCCTGAAACTCGTTATAGCTGGTGGCGCCAAGGTCTCTGTGGATAATGAAATCGTCACAGTCCCGGAGAAGCATCTCTGGAAAGGCGTAATGCTGGAAGACGTCCCCAACGCAGCCTTCGTCTTCGGATATACCAACGCATCGTGGACCCTGGGCTCAGATGCAACTGCACAATTTGTGACGAGACTTCTCAACAAGATGAAGAACGAGAATATTTCGCAGGCTGTGGCTAGACTGGACAAGAACGCAGGTCTGAAGGACCGATCTCTGTTCAATCTTAATTCGACATATGTCGTCAAAGCTAAGGGAGAATTACCCAAGTCTGGTGACCGTGCACCTTGGCTGCCGCGTTCGCACTATCTGAGAGATCTTTGGGAGGCTAAACGGGGTGACATTACCAAGGAGATGAGCTACACAAGCATACCGACATAGGAGAACATTTGTTAGTGTTTCAATGTTGTCTTGGCTAGTTGAAGCAGTTCTAGCATACCAAGACCAGTATATAGTAGTCTGAGCATGAATCTAATAAAGTATTATATATGCCCTGTGCTTATCGAACTGTCTTATCAGCTGTCATATACGGCGGAATCGGAATCAGGCATCGTCAAGAACACCAAGGAGTGTTGCGTCGGTCCCCAGCTTTGCCACGCGAAGTTATTGCACAACTATCACATCCCGAGCCACATTCCAAGCAGGCAACTTATTATCAGCTCACTCAGACCACGCATGTTCTCGAGTCCCTGCTAACACAGTCACAGTCCACCAAGGTAGTGCGCAAGTCCGACAGGTTCAACCTAATGACATGTCCAAGATGCGATAAACCGATCAACAAAGCAAGACTGGTTGAGCCATTGGTTAGAGTGTCCCAGCTAATCCAAGATCGTTTTCGTCCCAGTGCAGTTCACATCGCGTGCAGCACAATCGATAGAGTCAACACCTAGTTCAGTCCCTAATTTTGCTAGTCAGTCTAGGATCTTGGAGTCCAGGCGTGACTCTGGCGTGTCTGTAGGCATTGCTTCTTAATCGATGAGTAGAAGCGACGAGTAAGTGAGTGTAGAAGAAAGGCCGGTTTCATACTTTCCCGATATGTCGGTGACTCACTTCTACCGCTGCTGGTGATTCACACAGCTGTTGCCACAAATGCAGGATGCCTTTTTTACGGCCAGATCAGATCTAGTACTTTAGGCTACACGTGGTGACGATGACCAGATCGTGGTCTTGAGTACTGTTTCACCCACTTGGGCCACCGACTATTCTTTTCCAGGTCAATTTCTCTCCGATCTACCAATTCAGGCCAAAGGTTACAATGGAAGAGGCACAGATGGAATAGAGCTTTTCTATGCCAGGTTACTCTACACAATCTCAATGTCTTGATTCGTCATCGAGGAAGACACTACAAGGAACTGCAGATACAAAGATTTTTCGACTGGGCCGAACAAGCTGTCCACAAAGCCATAAATCATCTTTCTCGCAGGCTCTGATCATTGTGTGCAATATGACCAGCGAACATCGTATCACTGCTGCATTATACGACAGCGATCCCTGAAATGGGCTCTGCTCAAGGATTTGGTGCCGCTGTGTGTGATACAGAGATCTGTCAAAGATTTGTGAGAAACACAATATCAATGCATCGAAGATGATTGGAGAGTGAAAGACGAACGAAGACCTTCTCAATTTCTTTTTCCAGAATATAAGCGCTTGCTAGGTTGCTGACACTGCAAGAGCACTCGTGAACGAGGTGTTCGCCTGATACCGACGATTGAGGGCGAATATGGATGTCCTCAAGAACTGCAGGCTTCGAGCCATCTGTGCAGCATTCCTCAGCGAGATGGACAGTGAGCAGCCATGGACCAATTTTACACAAGAGGCACCGCCAGAGATCAAAACCAAGATGCATAGACTCAACGTCCAATTGTCAGAGAACTCCGAAGAATACATAGCCCTGGACAAAGCTGCAAAGACGGAGGCTCTGGACGAATTCATGATGCAAACTCGGTCGATCCAGCCGCTTAAGAGGAATCGTACAACGGCTAGCATCCTCATCGCCAGCCACTTTTTCTTCGAGCCCGATCTTGCAGTAAGCCATCGTCCACAACGCGTATGGGCCAAGGACCGTGAAGTCATGCTCGGTCCAAGGCACAATCTTGAGCCTTCAAGACGCTCATGAAAAGGTGTCACGGGTTTGGCAGCAAAATCCAGGAGCTGGCCGGGATAGATCAGCCATTCCTTCTAGGGCTGCAGAAACGTGCCATCCGCGTGACTCCACCGGTACTGCGCGGTTCGGGTCTGGTGTACAATTGTTACCTTACCTTCGATCCGATATTATGTCTGAGCTTGCCGTACATTGCATCAAAGATCGCACGCACAGCGATGCACAGCGATGCACAGCGATGCACAGCGATCACTCGAGATCCCTATCAGTAGGATCCCCGCCACCCTGAGAGCTCTGGTGTCGAAGGGATGCTGGTTGAAGAGAGAAGTAAATTTGTCATGATTGGTCTTCTTGTATATCCATATTCAGATGTAGAACTCTTCCTCGAACCACTGCTCTTTAAGCCCATCTTTTTTTTGTTTAATTTTTTCGTTCTTCACTTCTGAAAGCCAATATGATTCCAGACTTGTTCGCCGACCGTATACCGAATAGCTGTGTTAGTAGCAGTGAATCAAAAGGGCAAGATCCAGAGCACTTGCACTCCAACTCTTTTGGAAATATACCTCGATCTATGCTGGTCGGCTGCATTTTCGAACGTTTCTAAAAAAAAAAAAGAAAACAATTTAAAAATGGACCGATATATACAGGTATCTTAATCAGTTTGCACCTTTGGAACGTTTATCCAGATAGAAGCGAACTAACTCAATAGGTGATTATCCACAAGTCTGACGACCAAAAGTTAGAAGAGTGATTGCACAAGGTAGGTAGGTAGCCGACCGAGAGACGAGAGACGAGAGATTCAAGCACGGCTCTTAGCTAGGCTGTAATTATGGGATGAACAATCCTTCACGTCTCATCATAAAGCTCAAGCATTGAGTCCCCAAGCATCAACGCGAAAAATAGGTAAGCTGGGCAAAGCAAACCAAACCAAACCGCGCTAAGCCGCCACGCTGCGTGTGTGTGGGCCAGCTCAAAAACAGCTAGGACCAGAAACAGCATCAGCCACAGCCAGCCAAAAAGAAAAGCCCCCATGCAGGATTGAACTACAGACCTCAGCATTGCTGTACCCTGAATCCTTTTTATCGGATTGGAGTTACAAGTGCTGCGCTCTACCACTGAGCTATAGGGGCTTTTTGATAATTTCTGTGGTGTTTTCAGCGTATATAATCCTACTTGATTTTTGATTTTTGAGATTTTGCTGTTTGCGCGATTGGTGCAGGCCCTGTTGTGCCTATGTAGAAAGACAAAAAAAAGGACATCGATATTTTTATCGGTATCCATCAGTTTATTGAATGTTTCATCTACAAGTCGACTCGACGAGTCGAACTGTCCAACTCCCGTCGATTTTAATTAAGGGTAAGGGCCCCGCCCAACTATCCTAGCAACGCTGTTGCTATAGTCATACCAGCGTTGTCCCTAAAGGGACCTAATATTGCTATAATAGTATAGAGAAGAGCTAGAAATACTAGACAGAGTAAAGGGTTAATCTAACCTATTTGCTCACTCTAGTCTAGCAATAATACTATTTTTGCAAAAGATATAATAAAGCATCTTATTAAAGAAGTAATGAACGCTTAGAATGACAAGCTCAATAAACTGCTTAAGCAATTTTAGAAGCAGAATAAACTATTCTATATATAGAATAAACAACTCTAGGACTAGAATGGACTATTCCAAACCTAGAATAAGCAACTCTAAAATTAGATAGAGGCTCTTTACTAAAAGAACATTGCAATAATGACAATACTTAATATTATAATAAGGAAAAATAAGAAGCTTAAAAAGAAGCTTAATAATATAAGCGCAAATATTAAAAATATTAATACTAATATTAAAGCTTTAGATACTGAGGTTTAATTTATTAGGTTTAATATTAATAAAAGGAAAATAGTCCTTTTAATCTTTAAATAGGTAAGCTTAATATCCCTAGCTGATTTTAATATAGCAGCCTTCTTATTAATCTCCTATATTTTAGTAATATTAGGCTTAATTAACCTATTATTATTAGCTATATAGCTTTAGCATAGCAATATTATAATAATAATATTATTCACCTTTTTTAAAAAACTATACTAATTTTTAAGCATTATAATAAACTTAAGCTAAATAATAGCTAAATAGTATAAAATAATAAATAATTATAAAGCAATTAGAAATAAAATCTAAAAAGCTATTATAAGCCTAATAGTCTATAAATAATATTATTATTAAAGAAATCTAATTTAAAATAAGGGATATAAAGGTTATTATTTAGAATAAGAAAGATATAGCATAATTATAAATAAATAAAATATAGGTTTATTAAATATTTAAAATAGCTTACATTTATAAAGAGAAACTTTTCCTAATTAAAATTGACAATATATACAAAATAGTAGTCTTAGTATTAAATATTTATAAAATTAAACTAGAATTAGCAACTGAATTTAATATAGAAAATAGGTTTATTAAAGCTATTAAAGCATTCTAGCTTTCTAAAAAGGAGAAACCTATAGAATTTATAATAATATACTTTAATATAGTAGAGGACGCTTAGAGAGCGCTTAAAAAATATATAATCTAAGTTAATAGTAATATAGCTATAGCTAGCCAATACTATGAAATCTAATGCCTCTAGAGATACTATAACTATAATAAATATAGCTACTACTAGGCTAGATATAGCCAATTTCTAAAATATAGAAAATATATAGGATTAATAACTATATAGCTATAATATTAAAATATATAGCATATAAGGGACTACACACTATAATAGACTTTAAATACATAATATACTAAAATAAGATTAATAGAATCTAAAATAGAAATAAACTCTCTAATTAGCTTATTAAAATAAAGGAAAAGGACTAGTAAATAGTTATAAACTAATATACTAAATAGGAAGTTATTATAAGCAATATATAATAAGGAATACCTATTTTTTTTTAATAAATATGAATAGATAATCCTTAGTTTAGCTTACCTTTATTAATAACTAGTCTATTAGCTAGTTTATAGTAATTATAATTATAAAATTAAGTATTACTAGCATTAAAAGCAAACTATATATTTTATAATATTAATGCTAAGCTATTATAATATTATCTATATATTAAAAAGAATTAACGTATTACGTATTTTAATTAGTATTTTATATTTATAAAGATATTTTATTTGTCTAAATTTCTATAATATTATTTAATATAATAATAAGAGTTATTACTATATTAACAAAATATATTTTCATAATATTAATTTATATTTTAAGCTGTAGCTAATATATGCTTTCTAAATAGAACTTAGAAGAAATAGCCACTATTAGGCTTAACGCTTTAAGCAAAGCAATTTAGAAAGTAAAAGCTAAATATAAAGAGAACCTCTATATTATAATTAAAAAGGACTTTAATTACTATAATTTAATATAAAAAGGAATCAATATATTATAATTATAATATAAAAAAGAAAGTAAACTAATACTCTAATAAATATAATAATATAATATTTTTTTAGCTTTATTAAATAGTATAATCATATTTTTATAAAAATAATTTAAAACTACTATTAACCTTATATTAATATCTAATTTAATAAAAAATTAAATTATAAAGTATAGCATTTATTTAATCTAATATAAGTCAGACTATAAAGCTATAACATTTTAAATTAATAAAGCTAAAATAACTATTTTATAAAGAGCTAAATACAATTTTAAAAAAACAAATTAAGATATAGTTATTAAAGCGCTTAAAGAATAAAGACTATTAATTATTAATATTAATAATATTATTAAGCTTAATTAAGTAATTATAAAGATTTAAAACATTATAAGCTAATATATTTATAATTATAGCTTTATAATTAAGAAAATCTTTAAAGCATAATAGTAAAAAAAAATTCTTTCCTTTATTAATTTTAATATAAAAGGAGTATATAATAGTATTCTTTAATAAATGCTTATAAGTTAGCTATATATAAAAGGGATTCTAATTTATATAATAGTATAAGTTAATTTTTTTTATATAAATTAATTAATAATAATATTAATAAATAATATAAAATTAAGCAAAGTCACATTTATAAAATCTAGCTTTTTATAAAAATCAATGCTTGCTTTAATTTTATATATTTTCTTTAACGTGTTTCTAATAAAGGAAAAGATTAATAGGAAATAAGGCAATATAGAGTTTATAAATAACTATACTTAATAAACTATTTTAAAATTAATAAAAAGAAATATATTAATATTTAATAATAAAGTTGTTTTAAAGGCTCTCTAATAAGTAAAAAATAATAGTATTATATTTAAAAGCAATAAAACAATCCTTATATACTTTATATAAAATTATAAAAAGATTAACAATTCTGACTTTTTATTAAAGATAGGCAATTACGTTATTAAACCTTTTATAAAAGAAAGAATTCTAAAAGTTATTTTTAATACTAAGCTGAGGTTTAAGAATCACCTAGCTAAAGTCAAAATAAGGGGTAGAAAAATACTAGCTAACTTAAATGCCTTTTCTATATTAGCCTATAATTAATAAAATAGCTATATTAAGCTATAATAGCTTCTAAAATAGACTATATAGCTATAATATAGTATTCTAAGTTCTTAAAAGGAAAGATTAATAATAGTATAGTAAAAATCCTTAATTTTATATAAAAGATAGAGGCCTAAATAGTTATTAAATACTTTTATATAAATTTAATTAAGGCATTCAGCGCCAAAGCTTCGCTTTACCTTTTATATATCTAGTTAAAAATGAAAATTAGTAAATTCTAAATAGGACTCTATATACTACTAGAAACTAACTTATTAAAGAGACAGCTTAGAAAACTAATTAAGAAACCTAGAGCAAAATTGTTCATTTCCCTCTTTTATAATATAGAAACACAATTAGGAAAGACAGAGATAGGAATAGAAATCATTCTAGCATAAGTGGCTCTATTATAGAAAGTGATTATAGTTAATAACAAACCTAATTAGTATAACTTAGATAAGGCGTATAGGGAGTACATTAAGACAAAAGACTAATATATAAATGTCTTTGCTAATAGCTTAATAACTAATAGCTAAATAGGAGTTAGAGTAGTAATATACTCTAAAAAGTCAATACTACTATTCACCTACTCTTAGAGAATCAAATCTAGAGGTAGCATTGATAATATAATAATAGAGCTAATAGCTATTAAATAAATAGTAACTCTAGCAGGGATTATATTAAAAACGTTAATAAGCTAAGGGAAGCTAATCCTCTAAATAGCAATATAGTCAAATAGTTAAAAATCTATTTACATAATTAACTATTAAATAAGCCAAAGCAGAGCAGCTATAGTATAGAGTATATTATATATAATAAGAAAATACGTAATTTTTAAAGAATATTTAGCTATTTAATGGATTTTAAAGAAGTTTATAATTATAAAATATATAGAGGCTAACTAACTAGATAAGCAGGTAATAAGCTATTATATAAAGTTAGGTATAGGTAAAATAATTTTAAATAATATAATATAAGTCTAGAACACCCTTTAAAACAAAATCCTAGCTAAGGAATAATAAAGACTCTAAAAGGCAGGTAGAAGCCTTTATATAATAGATAGCGCTATTTTAGATAAATATATAGTATTGCTTTATAATATAATAAATAAGAAAGAGGCCTCTATCCTTTTATAGCTTTAAATAGAATATGCTTATTTAAACAAATTCCTAGTAGTAATTAATATTATAAATGTAAGCTAATATAAATACGGATAGGGAGAGGAGACAGTCTAACATTTTATGCTACTATACTCTAAATACAATATTTAAAAACGTAAATTAGTAAAAGCATTAAAAAATAAGTTTAGTAACATTTTACAAATGCTAAAAAGGTATAATCTATATATAATAGCAGAGTAGCTATATAAGAATAAACTAGCAGATTAATAAAAAGTAGATATAAAAACAGTCTAGGTAATTATTAGATACGTAATAGATACTAGAAGATTAGATTTTATAAAGGAACATAGAAAGCAGGAAAACGAAACTAAAAGGGAAGACAGGGAAGGCAAAATAGAAGATAATAAAGAGGAATCAGAAATAGAAAACAAAATATATATATATATATATAGGATAAGGCAAATGCTAAAGAACACCTAGATAAAACAG